ATTTTAGGATGGGTGTGTGTTCTCGTTCGGTAAAGTACGATACTGCTGTTCGTCAATCTACCACAAAGCCAAAGGRGACTCAGAATATGCGGAAATATAACACATAATAGGGATAAGTTTTTGTATTCAACAAATTTTTTTAAAATTGAGTTTAGTGTTATCGTTTAAATGATGTATTATACGATATGGGCTAATTGTTTTTATAATGCAGTTGCAATAGACACTGTTTACTGGGTAGTGAGTGTGAGGGAGTGAGTGGGCGACTATCCTTTTTGGTATAGGTTTGATCATGCATGTGATCAGAAATTTTTAGATTATCTACTGTCGAGAGCTTTCGTTATAAAAACAAAAAAAACAAAAACTAGAAACTCCACATCCCTATTCAGTGCATCATGGCCGCGCAAAACGAGGATTTTACCACCTACTCCTAGTTTTGCCGCTTTGTGATAATATTAGAGAGTTTAAGCATCACGTTTACGGCAAACGGCAGAGCTGAACCAATGACCTAAGAATTTCGTGCCTGACYTAGTGCTTTAGGTAGTCATTGGAACTTTTCGCGACTTTTCACGATTATGGCAAATTCAAAATAGCCCACTTTCGCGTTGAAACTGTAACGGTAAATCCCTCCCAAAAGCAGGTCACKTGATCTTTTCTGCCGTTTGCAGTTTGCCGTGAATGTCATGCTTTTGCTCTCTAATGTAACAACTGTAAAATTAAGGTACCTGTCGCCAACTTAAAATAACAAAGAAATTCTGAACTTTAATAACGTTTGAAGCCTTTTTAAAATTTATTGAATTAGATATTGGCACTATAAGACAATTATCACATGTACAAATTATATCATATATTGTTTAAAAAATATTTGTAATTATATGAGTAAAAATAAATTCAGAAGTTTCACTTTCTAGAATTTCGGAGAAAGCATTAATTCCTGGAGTTCTGGAAGAAAGAGCTTTAGCCATTATTGTTGATGAACTTAAACTTTCCTTTACTTCAATGCTTATTAGTTTGTCACTAGACAAGACGAGACTKGTAAGAAGGTTTCTGATTAGTTGRAAAAATCAGTCGAAAGTACATCAAGYAAGCGCTTGTGTTGCTTTATCATTGCGTTCGTTTTTGTGTCTTTATTAATTTGCTCTTCGCTAATGAACCAGGCCAAGAGAAAAGCTTATTTTCTCTTSRGCAGGCTTTGCACAGWAATAAGGAATGCAGCAAGACTACGATTCGATAGGGAAAATAATTTATTTATTATTATTTTTCTCAATAAACGTTTACATCAAACCATTAAGAAAGTCATCTAGAAAGGTTCCTTTGGTTAAAGGGCTGCAGTTGTCTCCAAATGGAGGGAGTTTGAAACCTTCAGCGGTGTAAGTAGATTCAGCTCCCTGTAAGCTATAACAATACACWATTCCCCTCTTCTTCTTTTGCATTTTGCCAGAACAACCTTGAACCTTATCTTCGCTAATTTCACCAAAGCTGTTCTTACCAACAAACACCACGGAGGCTTTGGCGACAGACGGATCACAGACGGCTTTCCAGTAGTACTTGGGAGCGACGATTGACCCTGAAAGTTTGATGTCTTGATTGTTGTCACTTCTCGTACCCTGACCACCTTGTTAATTGATGAAAACAAGGTTAATGGAAGCCAACATGTCTGCGCGCTAATAGTTGCAGTGCCTGTACTCTCCGACCAAAAGGACTTCCGTACGTAAAGAACGGCTGTTGATTTGATTGTTTAATAGCCGGTTTGCATCATGGCGTCATTTACTACAACTACAAGAATGCTTTGCCAAATTTCTTTTGTAATGCAATTAGTGCCAATTGTTTTATCTGTCTCCAAGGGGATTAAAAATCTGAATAAAAATGAAAATGCGCAAGGCTCTCTGGTAGTTGTAATAGTTACGCCATAATGCAAATGGACAAGATCGCCTGAGACGTATAAGACGGGCTATGTTGCAGTCCGTGTAGTTAGGGCGTGACTAGCACGTGTCCTCGCACATATATCATTTATGCACATCGTTTTCAAGTCGGCACGTGGGGTATTGTTTGCGCGCATCTAGGCGAACTTCTCTTTTGGACTCTTCAACAGTCTATCACACCAACCCCTTCTTTTATTCAAAATGGTGGGAACTAGCGGTAACTAGTGTGAGTTGCGTCGGTGTTTCTAAAGAAACAGTTGTGTAAAAAGATAAATTAAACACCGTAAAAAAGTTGAAGAAGTAACTTACTAAAAGTTAAGAACGTAAGTAAGTTACTTCTCCCACTTTTTTACGGTGTTTAATTTATCTTTTTACACAACTCCTTCTTTTATTCTATGTACTCAGGAAGCCCGGGGCTTTATACCTGYTCCAGTGAAGACGTACACCTCTCTGCTCACACTATTAGCATAACGTCTGACTGCATCTTCAACAGCTKCCCAATTTCCACTATTGAAAAGCTGCCATTGAGGGGCTATGTTCGTGTTTATAAAGGTGAGTTCTTTCTCGTCAGCGGCAGAGAAGTCGGCATTTGCAACAAGATGGCCTCGCGAACAGAATTGCTCTCTTTGAGGGTCGAAGTTTGGATATAGGCCGCTTTGTGATGTGCAGAGGTAGTCCTTGACTGTCGATTGTCTAGCTGGGGCTGTATTAATGAAGAACATTAGTACAATTATCTATGATCGCATAGTTTTGAGTTTGATAAACTTTATTATCGATACGATAACTTGAGATACTATTCGTCTACAGCAAACTTTTGTACTTTTGAATTTTGTGCATTGTACTCGTTATTCAAAGATCTCTCGGTCTTGGAACAACATTACTGAATACTGACATTTGCCAGTAGAAAATTAACAAAAAGACATTTTTATCAAATGAGCCTAATTCATGGTTCCGACAAATCAAGCGCGAGCGTGCGATTAGCCAATCAGAAGAAAGCGCGGGAATCGAACACGCTCGCGGCTTGTACGGCTTTTACCACAAATGCTTTCGAGTTTTCGTAAATGACAGTCTTCCGACGATTTTTCGATAAAATTCCCGATAATATTTCTGTTTCTTTAATTGTTAAAAACATTTCATTCTTTTTAAGAAAGTCCTCGAGAAAGGATTTAATTATTATGCGTTAACATTTAGCACTTCGTGCTTTTGTCCGCACATCTTCGGATCCATTTCAAGTATTTTTTAGATTAGTTTTTGACTTGGGGAACAGAATGAATCTTCCTCCATTTAACCTGTCTATGTAGCGCTCATCTGCTTTACAAGTGACCCAGCAACACCTCAAAACCATCTCAACTTCAACCTCTGATTCGATTCGGCTTTGTTTACATTTTTTGTGGGACAACATGGCTGCCATAACGTGTCCTCTATTCTGATTGGCCAATCCCGTGCGCGCGAATGATGCGTTTGATTTGTTGGAGCAGTATCTATATTCTTTTTGATAGCCTTTTTTTAATAGCTGTATGCTGACGGTAAGAGAATAAACAAAGAATAAATGGTCAAAGATGGTTGAGTGAGTGCCAACAAATTGCATTATATCGTCCCTAGGAGCGCCCCCTCTTTACTCATAAAACGACGGTGCGAAAAAAAGAGGCGAGCCAAGAGACCCTTGGGATGAGATTGTGCATTACCATTAGGACCATTTTCATTATGCCAATTATTAGACCTTCCTCCTCCACTCGCAATATTAGCTTTCACAACGTTAGCTGCGAACTCAGGTATCCGAGTCGATGTGTTATAACACACGGCAAACAAAGCAGGATCAGACCCGCTGACCGAATAACACAACGGCGCGTCTTCGCAGAAGACTGTGCTCTTAAGGACAGCGTTTGTACCGGATGGCCAATGACTGAACAGGCACTGGTTGATGTCTTTGGAATAAGCGGTGTTCCCGGCATGCACTCCAAGCATTGCATCTAGAACCAAGGCCATTAGGAGAACAAGAGTTTTGACGCCGTTCATAATGGATAATTGGTTGTATTTTACTGTGGAAAATGAAAAGCAGAAAGTTTCAGGACTCGTTTTTTTAATGAATGAGTAGATGAGTAAAATGTATACAGATATACTCATCACGCCTTAAGTTTTTATTCTGGTGTTTGACTTCTTCTATTTTTTTTTATATACATTTTTTTAACTGCGAACCGAACCAAATTTGAAACTGGTTTAAATAACTCTATGTCGCTTTTGCTATTAATGCATGAGTAAACCAAACTGTTGGAATCAGTGATTATCCGGACATATACTGAAGAGAGTTTCACACACAAAAACGAAAGATTTACTCTGAAAATTTTACTCAGACAGGGGCCGATTATTTTAAAAACATTTCACCCGATTATCCATGTTGCAATTAGAGCACCCGGGGGCCGTTGCTATAATACTCCAGTTTCGAGATCTTTATTTGTCCAGCCTTTAACCTCGACGATTATACATGGGCGCGCGGAGATACGGATTTTATCTTCGAGTGTTGAAAAGAGCTCTCACGAGTGAGCGTTATATTCTTATATTCATATAATTGCATATACAGCCTTTTGCAAAAATTATGAGAATTGTCGAAATATCTAAATATCATAATATCCATATCCATATATTGTCTGGAACACGAGGGTTTGCTAGAATAATTCATTGTTGACATCGAGAAAATGTTCAGAACTACGGATAAGTCTGTCGCCAAAAAAAAAAAAACTAAAAAAACTACAAAGACAAGGGACTAAGGGAATCGCGCGGGATTACCCATAATGCACTTGATATTATGATATTTAGATATTTCAACAATTCTCATAATTTTTGCAAAAGGCTGTACACAAGCAAATTATGTCGTAAAATACCTTTTTCCTTACTATATAGAAAAACCTCGATTATTTTCACAGTGAAAAAATTAACTTTACGAAATGGAGAAATATAGATATTTCATAGATAATTATATGATAAATTCTTTTATTCAGCAGAAAATCTATTGTAAAACACACATTCTGTGTACAAAGAAGACAATTGAATCTAAGTTTGCACAAAAGAGAATTCGATACTGGAGTATTTATATTTATTCATGGTATTCAACTTGTCACTGTAAATGACCCATGACTGATGTGRTTAAAAAGTCAACTCGTTGCTTTTCTGCCGTATTTGATTACATTTTCTAGGAAAAAGCTTAACTCTGGCGTACATGAATAATTTTTGACAATTTAAGTTTCCAAAGAAGCAAAAGAAACTAAAAAGCGCCGGAATTGTGATTGTCATGGMCATGTTATCTCTAGCGTGTTTAAAACTGGAATTCCTCTTCTATTGAAAAAAAATTGCTAAACCTTTATTTCGAGTTTATAAATCCTTATTGTTAAAATTATTATTTCAGAGGTACATAAAACAGCTGAATTGAAGTCTCGTCAAAGAGCAAACAAAAACAGTTGTAGCACTAAAAAAAATAGATACAAGCAACAATAATAGATAATAATAATATGAACTCGGGAGAAATGTTTTTCTAGTAATATCTCAATAAAAGAATGTGAAATACCTGTACATAAAATTGTTAAAAAGAAATATTTATTTTTAAAGTCGWGCAAATTATAATTGAATTGGATTAAAATTCAAACTGGACAATGTCTGTGAATGTAAAAGTGAAAAGCAAAAAAAAAAGCTGTAAACGATATTGAACGTAAAAATAAGAAAATAGTAATAAAAAAAATTATACACAAACGAATAGTTAGAAAATATAATTTCGAATAACATTATAATTGTGTTACCTTAGTTTTCACTTGTGACTTGCGAAGTATCCAGTGCCACTAGCTGYATAGAGGCGATTTTGAGAGGTCAGGGACGTTTCGTTTTAATGTCGTGGTATTGCTATTAAGAATACATGATTTCATGTTTTGTCCTGTTAAGCGGTAAGCTTAGATTCATTTTAAACGGATGTCACATTWCTGCAGGTTCGWTTGTGAATTTGTAGATTTGTGTAGATTGAGTTACAGCCGGTACTGCCACTTCACTGTAAGGCATTCTATTGTTCCAGTGTGGTACGGGTCCACTAGGTGAACCGAGAATAATCCTACCTTAGCGTTTTCTTAGGGCCAAACACATTTAACATTTGATAAGAGTTCATACGAAAATCTTAGCCTCCTTACTAATAAACTATCTACACCCGTCTCGACTGTCCCGAGTCGCAACTTCCGGGCAAGTTTATATTATGGAATATAAGCCAATATAAACCAAAGACTGCTTATTTACTTTCAATTTCTAGAATTTTTGAGATGCGTACGTATAGAAAGCATTGCAATGCTTACAATTCCTGGAATTCTGTGAGAAATAGACTTAACCATTATTAAATTCGTCGCAGCTTGGATTTTCACAAGTAAGACAAAGCGCAAGTGCAATCGCAGACATAAGGATTTATTCGGAGTGAAAACAAAACGTCGATGAGCTCAAATCATGTAWTCCTTTTCAATGCTTGTGAATCAGTGTCTGGACGAGAAAACACTGGTAAGAAGGTTTCTGATTAGTTGGAAAAACCAGTCGAAAGTACATCAAGCAAGCGCTAGAATAAAAAGACAGTGCGCTTCCGTTGATTTTATCATTGCGTTTGTTCCTGCGTCTTTATTTGCTCTTGCTTCGCTCACAAACCAGGCTTTACACAGAATGAAGGAATGCAGTAATATTATAATTCGTCACGTTGTTATAGGGAAATTCATTTGTTTATGTTTATTTACCCACTAAGACTTTCCATCAAACCATTGAGAAAGGTGTCAATAAAGGTTCCTTTGGTAGAAGGGTTGCAGTTGTCTCCGAATGGAGGGAGTTTGAAACCTTCAGCCGTGAAAGTAGATTCAGCTMCCTGTAAGCTATAACAATACACAATTCCCCTCTTCTTYTTTTGCATTTTGCCAGAACAACCTTGAACCTTGTCTTCGCTGATTTCACCAAAGCTGTTCTCACCAACAAACACCACGGAGGCTCTGGCTACAGGATCACAGACGGCTTTCCAGTAGTACTTGGGAGCGACGATTGACCCTCCTGAAAGTTTGATGTCTTGGTTGTTATCACTTCTCTTAGCCTGACCACCTTGATATATGAAGAAAATAGAGATTAATAGTARCCCCACATGACTGCGCGTGAAGAGTGTTTTGACTCTCCGGCAAAAGGGCTTTGATAATATGTACAGAAACGCTATTAAGTTAAGGGTTTACGTTATTGAAAATGATGTGTAAGAGATCGCCTGAGAAGTATTAGACACCTCTGTTGCAGTCTACAAATTAAAGCGTCTTCGTGTGGACAGGGCRTGACTAGTGCGTCTTGTCACATTTTGAATATATTAAGATTTGAAACATATGATACTATTCGGGGAATCTTCAGGTTCCTATAAACCTTCCTTTTTCTGACGAATAAATCTATTTCACGTGAATGTGTGAGATATTTCTTGGAAGCCTTTGAGCATTTAAGCCGTCGTACATTCGGAATCTATCACACCAAACCCTTCTTTTATTCTATGTACTCAGGAAGCCCGGGGCTTTATACCTGTTCCAGTGAAGACGTACACGTCTCTGCTCACACTAGTAGCATAACGTCTGACTGCATCTTCAACAGCTGCCCAGTTTCCAGCATTGAAAGGTTGCCATTGAGGGCCTATGTTCGTGTTTATAAAGGTGAGCTCTTTCTCGTTTTTGGCAGAGAAGTCGGCATTTGCAACAAAATGGCCTCGCGAATTGCTGTTTTTGAGTGACAAAGTTTGGATACAATGGTGGGAACTAGCGGTAAACTAGTGTGAGCTGCGTCGGTGTTTCTAAAGAAGCAGTTATGTAAAAAGCGACGAAGGATTAACATCCGAAACGTCAGTAAGTTTTTCCACATACTTTTCTACGGTGTTAAATTTATCTTTTTACATAAAAGTTTGGATACAGACCGTTTTGTAATCTACATAGGTAATCCTGGACTGTTGATTGTGTAGCTGGGGCTGTATCAATAAAGAACGTTAGTACAAGTATCTATGRTTGCTTTCGTGAGTTTGATAAACTTTGTTCTCGATAGCTATTTTTTTTTTAAAGGCTGAATACTGACGTGAAGGAGATAGATATAGAATAAACGGCCAAAGATGATTGAGTGAGTGCAAACAAATTGCATTATATCCAACCTCGTCCCTTTGGCTTTCACTATCCTCGTAAAACTGTCGACTCATTTTTTGAAAA